CTCTGTGTACTTTTTGCCACCACTTACCTTCTTGCTGCTTCTCTTCCCATGCCACCTGATGGAAGGATTTGAGAAAACCCTTGGAGTCTATTAAAAAATGTTCCCCAGGTATGGTAGAGGCCAAGGTCCAGGTGGAAGGCTGCCATGGGGGTGGGGCAGCCTCAGATTGAGAGTAGCAAAGGATAATCAGGATGAAGAAGAAGATGAAGTCACACAGCTCCATGATCCTCTCTCTACCAAATGTCCACACTTCAGTTTTCCTTGAAAAGCAGGTTGCTATAGTTGTTGTTTTCTCTTCTGTGGTTGGTGGAGGATTGTGTGCCAGGAATCTATCCTGGCAGAAACCCTGGAACATCTCCAGTGGATAGAGGGAGCCAAAAATTTCCAGCCTTTGCAGAAGCCCAATGTACAGCATACCAGGGATGAGTCCCAAAGCCAGCCACCCCTTTAGAAGTGACTGGCTAGGAAAGTCTTCATGGGAAAAACCCCCAATATCCAACAATTCTCTTGGGAAAGTGCAGGACGTGTGGATGCTGCTTGCATAATGAAGGTGGGTCTGGGCTCATCTTCATGAGCAAGTGCCATGCAAGGCAAGAGGTCAAGAGTTACTGGAAGTGAGATTTGGAATCATTGGGCCCTTTGGGGACAGGAGATTTTTGTTATCAACAGGAAGTGAGACATGAAGAAGGTGACATGCTCTGAAAGGAGAGGTCTGGCTCCATTGGAAGGAGGAGGTTAAGGGGTAGCTGGTTTAGCCAATCTTTCATCTTTTGATTCATCAGCAAATGTTTGCAGCAGGTGTCTTAGGCTGCACCCTGCCCCAGGTGCTGAAAATTGAATAGTGAAGAGGACAACAGGTTGATATTAGAAGGAGCTGGCATGGAAGTGTGGGAGGTGCTCTCACAAAACATCTCCCTGAAAAGGCCCTAGGGACCTGACAACGGATAGGTCACACACAAAATGGCAGGGATCACCTTCTGACAGGGGGATCAAGCTTTTCAGGTTTAGATGGTTCTCAGGAGATTTAAAGCAAAATATGAGGGAATCCATGATGCCAGTACAGAATCACGCAGCTCAAGAGGTGGAGTCCAAGTGTGCCTTCCACAGAGGAAGAAAAACACTGCAAGGCAGCTAAAGGTGTAAGGAGAATGAGGGAGGCCAGAGGCAGCATATGACTGCAGTACTTAACATCGTAGAACCTTAAAAATGTTATGTCCTTATTTTTTAAAACAAACAAGCAAAACATCACAGTTTGTATTATTCCATTTATATGAAATATCCAGAAGACCAGAAGGCAAATCCATTGAGACAGACATGAGATTGGTATTTCCAGGGGCTGGGGAAAGGAGATCAGGGAGTGGCTGCTAAATAAGTACAAGGTTTTGGGGGAAAGTGACAAACTTGTCTGAACCTAGAGACTGATATAGGTACTGTAACGGACTTCTTGGGTCTCTTGTTATATCCCGGGGAGGAACAGCAGTGGGTATGAGGAAAATAAAAACAAGAGAGAAGAGCTGGGTTAGGTGGAGGCAACCTCTTACCTGTTGTGCAAGAGGACCTAACATCAACAGTAGGTATGTTTATTTATACTCTTGCAATGTTGCCTAGCAACTATCCAGGCAGGATGCTTTTTCAAGACTAAGATGGCTTGACTACTTGAGGCAC